TCACCCTATTGGTAGTAGAATTTTTCCACAATGATATAGGTAGGGCTGACGTTTCCATTGAATTTCACAGCTTTGCTTTCTCAAAAGTTGTTCTCATCCAGGGTGGACTGCAGTTTCGACCTCGCATCGGCCTTATCAACACCCCTAGCGGGAGTCGAACCGTGACGGTGTAGCTGGGGGTATTAATAAGACCTATGCGAGGTGGAAACTGCAGTCCACCCTGGAGGAGAACAACTTTAGGGTAAATAGGACTATGTGAAAATAAATGGAAACGTTAGCTGTACTCATATCATTATGGGAAAATTCTACTACCACCTTAAACGAAATAGGGTGAATACATCTCATATAACTGATTAAATGGTAGTCTCAAAACTCTAATCACATATGAAAAATAGATTAAATACTGAGTTAATCTATTTATTATAGTAGGCCAAATCCCCTAAAAAGAAGACATTTTAGAACCGAGCATTGAGTTTTTTATGACGATCAGGGTACTGAATTGACATTATTATAAGGTTCTCATTGACAAAACGTAAACTTACTTATGCTAATAGTGAAAAACTTGTTGCACATGAAATCATTGTATGTGAATCCAAGGAAAAATGGTATTAGTGAGGCTTGATTATAATCTGTGCTAAGCTTATTAACAAGGCCCTTACAAGCCTACAAAATCAAAAGGTCATACATTTTTCAAAATACGTGTCTGTACTCAGCTAATCAAGCTAAATGAAGGCGTAGTGATGAATAGAACAAAAGAGAAGTATAAGTAAATAAAGAGAGGCACTTATACACACATATATATATATATATATATATATATATATGAGAAATTGGCACAGTGCCCCGATATAATTAGATAAAGAAAGATATATAATCAAATATGATAATAAAATTTAAAAGAAAATGAATAGAGATAAGGGACAATGCAAATCACCTTGAGCAACAGCTCGCGAAAGACGAGCTTCACGAAGACGCACCAGAGCAGTTAGTAGACGCTCCCTTGTGGCCAAACACTTGTAAATTTCTGCAGTAGTCCTCGCTTCCAAGTGATCCACATTTGCTTCTTTATATCTTTTCGGCTTTTTCTTCTTTCCTGATTCATCATCCTGTACGCATGAGGATGTATTGTCGTCCTCTATTATTCTTTCAATTTTCCTCCTTTTTCTCTTCGTTTTATGCCTTCTTATCCTCTCCTCTCCGTTGCTCTCATATTCAGCGCCTTGTTCAGCTATATCAATTGTTTCTACTGATCTAGCATCATATTTTTCTAAAATGGACGGTAGAACAGATGAATCTGGACGATCGAATTTATCAGATGAATAATCAAGAATGTAAGGATCAGTCGAGTAAGTGGCTATCGGAGACTCAGATTCCCTTCGGCTATCCCCAGAATTATGATGTTTGTGCCTCTCGTGTCGCGATTTTGTCTTGTGCTTCTTTTTATGTTTACGCTTCTTTTCTTTATCTTTTTTCGATTTTTTTCGCTTTCCTTCTTTTTCTTGATCTTTATTTGAGGTTTCTATTTGTCTTTTGGTTTCCCCATGCTTGATATCACTTTCTACAAAACTTTTTTCAATAAATTGCCTCTGTTCTTTCTTTTCATATGCTTTTTTGGGATTCTTTTTTCCTTTTCTAAACCTGAATAAGTCTTCTTTGCCAAGCCTTATTCCATCGCTTGAATCTAGGGGTAATCGGACACTTCCCTGATCCCTGGTAGGACAGATATTAACACAAAATGTGAGTTATTAATTATGTTAAAGATATAAAGAAATAATACATAATATATTCAACCAAATTAAAGTAACAATCTCGGATTGCATCTTGGACCAAAAATGTAGGGAGAAAATTACGAAAATTATTGAATGGGGCTGGAGAGCAAGGAAACGTCACAATAATACATTCGCTAAATTGCAAAATTCTGTAATGAGAATGGACAACAGCTGTAAAACCCATGGCTTCTGAACCGAAATTGCTAGATTACTTGTAACCAGCAAATCGTCATCTCGAAGAGATGGGAGGTCAGGACATTACTACTTGATATGAAGAGTAATTGGGTTTAGATGAATCTTGTGAGATAACATTGTTGGGAAGACCTTCATTTTGTATGAAAATGCATGAGAGAAAAGACTAGTAGGTTGACCTCATCAGAAAGCGACGGCTGAATTCCGCTGTACAGCAGCCCTTTGACTTTGATAGGATGTTCAAATTGACGCAGTCCACGAGACTTCCTCTCCCGCTTCGGGTGAAAACGGACTGAGCTTTCGTCCATCAAATGATGGACATAATCAGAGCTGAAACCCATTCTTGTAAGTCTCACGTTAACATTCGGTCAAGAAGACTATCCGGCTATTGAAATTAACTGATAAGGGGATTGGATTTGACGAGAGATGGTAGAAAGTTAAATAGTAACTACTTATACTTATGTAGATACGAAGAGAAATTGGGTTTCGATAAATCTCCTGAGATAAGATTGTTAGGAGGACCTTCTATCTCCCCAGATGAGGACGGATGAAACTCATTGTACTGCAGCCGGTTTGATTTTATACGATATTCATGTTGACACAGTCCACGGGGCTTACTCCCTCGTTTCGGGTAAAAACGTGCTAAGCTTTCGTCCATCATATGATGGACATCATCAGAGCTGGG